CCCACATACCCCTCAGTTTACTTTAATGAGTTTACCCTATGTTTACCTTAATAGGGCTTTGAACGCTTAATCCACTTTGGCTCTGTACCCTGAGGCAAGTGAGGGTAATAGGTGCCCATCAGAGACACATCTTCCTTTTCTAAAGCAACCAAAGAGACCAAAATAACCTCAGGAGGCTGTGGGAGGTTTAAATAAAATAATGCAACAGCCCACACCACAGATAACACCTTATCTCATTCAGTGCTCACAGAGCCCAGGGAGTTGGAGCAATAATCTCTCTAAATTTGCAGATAAGGAAACCCAGGGAGGTTCCATGATTTGAGAAGGGTCTCTTGCCATTATTGTTCTCTACCCTGCACTAGAAGTAAAGGTGAGAAGCCAACAGAAGAGAAGAAGGGAACTGGGCAAGTCCCTCCTCTCCGGGCCTCAGTTTATCCTTCTGTAAAATGAGGGAAATATTTGGATGTGGGTAAAGATCTTTGAGGTCTCCATGCTGGGGGATATTCTGAGCATTTGGGTGAACATAATACTTCTGGGATTCCTCTAAGGTCCGAGGCTTCCCGCTGTCCATTCTGTGGGGATAAATGGGCATTTCTGTTTGTTTTAATAACATTTGTAGGAACTTTATATAGTGTCTATGTCTGCTTACATTAGACGCTGTGTATTACAGTTAAGAGTCTTTCACTATTTCCCATATAAACCTTGTTTTTTATGGGTTTGGGAGAGCTCAGCTGTAAAAACTCAGCTGAAAAAAAGATTAATTTTTTTTTTCAAACAAATCGGGAGGCTAGTTTCAGGCACTTCAGAGCGAGCATAATTTTTCTTTCCAGTCACTTTTCATTTAAAAATGAGGTTGACTGGTTTTTTCGTTTCATTTCTTTTATGAGGATTTAGCAAGACCATAAGCTTAACTGCTGGTTGCTGCATGGAGAGAAGGTATCTGGTGCCTTTTCCAAGAGAGCTGGGGGACTGCCGCCTGCAGAACCTGCTCTGCTTCTGACTGGGTGTGTGACCCTTCAACTCTCTGGCTCTTCCTTTTCCCATTGGTCCATAGGGAGCCTCATGCTTGCCTGCCTCCCTTCTAGATTACCAAGAGGAAAAATGTGCTTCAAGAAATGGAAATACCTTTGGAAAGGTAGCAGAATACAACAGTTACTAATAGGGCATTTTGTAAAAATGTGGATGTGTAACCGATGTGATTCTGCAATCTGTATTTGGGGTAAAAATGGGAGTTCATAACCCACTTGAATCTAATGTATGAAATACGATATGTCAAGAGCTTTGTAATGTTTTGAACAACCAAAAAAAAAAAAGAAATGGAAATACCAAAGAAATTGATCGCTCGCTATGCAAACCAACACCAGAAGTTGCTGCAAAGAATAACATGCAGACTTTTTTTTTTACCAGAAGAAAGGAAGTGCCTGCAATCAGAAAGTTATAGCCAAGAAAGAATCTAGAGCTCAGGAGATACCCATTTCCTCATTTTTATAGAGGGCATCTACTCTGAGCCCCAGCAGGGAAGAGGTTTCCAGGGGAAGGGCTGGAGTCAGGTCAGAATCCCAAACCCCTTTACATAATTCCTTCCCTCTTTCTCTGCCTACTTTTGGCAACCAAAGGAAATCAGACTGAAGCATATCTAGATGCGTGTGTGTACTTATGCATGTGTGTGCGCTCCCCTACATACCCTGGAGGTGCTCCAAGATGTGGGGAAAGCCAAGTCTTTGAAGGCCGCCAGGTCTGTTCTTCAATCCAAGCCCAACGTGCCTTTTACCTCCTATGTGACCTGGAGGAAACCCTTTCACCCCTCTGAGCCTCAGCTGCCTCAATTTTAACCAGTCATAATCTTTGTGAGGCTTAGATGAAATAATTCGAGCGAAGGGTTTAAATAGTTTGCTTTGTATATTTTTGCTGTAGTTATTATTTTATTAAGCAATATATTTTAAATGGAAGAAGACTCATATTTGCTGTGTGGAAGGACTAATAACTTTTCCAGACAGATATTTATTATCGTTATATTAATCACTCATCATTATCAGGATTTTCTCTTACTGTGATACTTATACCCACAGTGATACTCACAGTGCACATGTTAGAAATTCAAACATGTATGTTGAATACACCATGTACGGTATTGAAATCACGCTGGCAACAAGAGAAGTTAGAAGGAAATTGTAGATTTTTAATCTCAAAAGTAGTATTTATTCATTGTAAAAAAATTTTTTTAAATATAGCTAAAATCAAGAGGAATAGTAAAAATTACCCTCATTCCCACAAGTCAGAGGTATAGATATGTTTTGGGGGGGGTTGTTTGTTTAATAACATTTTATTTATTCTTATGTGGTGCTGAGGATCAAACCCAGTGCCTCACACGTGCTAGGCAAGCGCTCTACCACTAAGCCACAACCCCCGCTCATGTTTTGATGCATATTTTTGATGCATATTTTTTCACTTCTTCTCCATGAAAGACATTTGAGGGATTTTTGTTTATTTACTTATTTATTTTCACATGAAGGGAGTCATAATTATGGTGGTTAGTGATGGGGGAATGGTCTTCCCATAATATTACTTAGTATACTTTGGACAATTTTCGTGTCAATTTCCACGTCTTTTCTAAGGGCTGACTAAAATGTGCTGATGAATTTATTCAACCAGTTCTCTAATTAGACCAAGGCCTGGGGATCTTTTCCTGTCTTTATTCTTTAGCCCAGTTGAAGCTTTGTAACATCAGGGACTATTTCCTTATGATATATTCCTGGAGTCTATTTTTAAGTTCATGATCATTCCTTTTTTTTTTCCTCTATGTAAAAGAAAGAATATACTTAAATTAAAATAGTGACACGGCTTCACCACAGCTTGCTTGAAGCGTCGGACAGCGTCGACACCAGGTTCTAAAGATGTTTGCCAGGAGACAGGCTGAGAACCTCCAGAGCCGGACTGGTTTGTGTGACTGGAGCCGCTCGGTTTCTCCCTCCGGGCTTGGCTTTTCCAGCTGTGGACTACGGCTGGGAACGTGGCATGGGCGTTCACCGCTGCTGGGGTAAAACGTGTAGGAGAGAGAGACAGATCATCCAGCCACCCCATTAAAGGGCAGCGACTGCCGAGTTCCCAGATTCAGGATCTAAGATCCAAATCAGACATGACTGAGCCAGATTTTAGGGGGTCCACCCCTCTCTTCCCAAAGAGAGTTAGGGACCAGCTGAGCGGGGTGTCTCCTGGTTATGCCAGTCTTGGGTCTGGCTGCTGGGGACGGGAGGTACCCCTGGAAGGTACCCCTCTCCTCTCCCTGGCCTTAAGGAAGCAGGACGAGGGTGCGCATTCTTCCCGTGCCTAAGATACTTTGCCCTGCTAAAAATAGTCAAGGGAGCTGGGCCCTATGTATAGCCCGAGGTTTGTCTTTGAGCTAAATTGGAGTCTTGGGTTCGAATCCAGATAAGGTCCCCTTGTGCTGTGGGCCAGCAATGGTCTCGTTCCCTGGACCCTGGTTTCCCCACGCCCGTGCTAGAATTTCCAGAAGGATTCCCAGCTCTTGGGAGGAAAATAATAATAATAAAAGAAAAAAAATAAAACTTGGTTTTTCTTTCTTCTCCTCCCTGAGGGCCTGGGGCCTCCGGCCCGCACTGAGGCCGGGGGAGGGGCGCGTCGCCGGCTCATTAGGGCGAGGTGTTGCCCTAGTTAAATCGCTGGTCTGTTTGATCTGGCGGCGGGTGGCGAGGGGGAAAAAAAGAAAAAAGTAGGGGGGCGAGCGTGGGGAGAAGCTCACACCTCCCCCACCATTTCCTCGCGTCCATAAAACACCTTTTATTAACTCCTTCGCGTCCGGAAAGGCCCGCGTGGCCTCCCAGCCCCTGCCACGGTGTTTACAGCCAAGAATAATGGGGCCCCATATTCACCCCGCTGCCGGTTCGAGGCAACTAGGCCACGCCTGGTGCCCTGCATAGCCCTGCCCTGCAACTGCCCGGGGTTTCCTAGTCTGTCCCAAAGCCGAGAGCCTGATCAAGCTCGGGTGCACAGCGCGAAAGTGCCAGGACAACGGTGCGCGTCTTCCCGCCTCCTTCGCAGTGAGCGCGGAAGAACCGAGGTCCGCACCAGCAGTGAGCGCTGAGCCCCTGGGACAAGCGTGGCAGCTGTTAGGGGACACGGCTGCATGCAAATAAAACTAATCGTACATTATTGTTTACGTTATTATTCGTGGGCGTGTAAACACCTGCGTCTGCCAGCCCCAGTTTAGCCCAACTCGCACCCGCGCTTTTAGGCAATTGTGCCTGCATTTATTCACACCCAGAAATGGTGCGCAGGTGGGGCCTCAGAGACCGGCTGCGCGCACAAGGGCCCGCAGCACACGCACCCCAACACTTTGCACAAAATCCATATGCTCTGGGGCTGGAGAAAAAGATAAATGACTAGGTTTAACCATAACCCCAGCTTATTTGACTCACATAGCTGCTACAACTGGTCGAGATTTTGATGCGTGCTTGGAGCTGTGTTAAGCGACCCTCACAGGACCTGCACAGACACCAGCTCCGTATACGTTGCCGAAAAATGTACACCTATATGTTCAGAATTTCACATACATGAATGAATTCTCTGAAAATTTCCCCTCTTTCAAGCTACTCTGCTGGAGACAACCCTGGTTTGTGTGATAGACCCTCTTCCCCTCCTGCTAACTCCACCCAAAGAGAACCACCAAACCACAACTCTGCAGACACGAGTGTGCATACTAACCTGTGAATATCCACCCAGATAAAACTCTGAGTTTAAAAGTCAGAATTTCCCCCGCTTCCCATTCTCCTGGTTCAGGTAAGTCATCCTGTCCTGTTGTTGTGTAGTCTAAGAATTTCACTCTTCGTTCCAGAAAGAAATCCTTTATCTGCCTCCTTCCCTCAACTTGATTTGCAGTTTGGTTTGGTGGTTATCAAAGGAGGAGAAGCGGGAACAGGCTTGGCTCCAGGTTGAAACATCACGCAGACTTTTCGAGAATTACTGAAAACTTTTTTATTATTCAAGAGCATAGATACTGCTTTGGCAAAGGGAGGGGCAGTGAGTGGTCATACAGATCTGAGGTAGAAGAGGGATGGGGATGGGGAGATAACGAACACCTGAGTGCAACAGGCATGATAGGTAGTTTAAATATATAAAAACTTTGCAACATAGGGGAAATTTTTATTTGGAAAAAAAGAGAAAGGAAAAGGGGAAAAAAGAAAGGAAGAAAAAGAGAGAAAGAGGGAGAGTTCCCCTTGGAACTACGTAGGATGTACAGCAACAAAAAGAAAAGTAAAACACTGCTGTTTAAAGGGGAACGACAAAAGGCAGCCCTCCACCTTCCTGCTTTCGGTTCTCGTTCCCTGGAAGAAAACTATTGATTCCTCTTATTGTATTTTACTTGGAGAAGAAGGAGTCTGGGGTGGCACAAAGCGGAGAGGGGAACAAGAGAGAAAGCCAGATGGCGGAGATGAGGATGGCGTTGGGGGTTCTAAATTCGACCCAGAAGGGTTGGAAGGGTGTGTCTTTCGGCACTTGGGTTCCGCAGTCCCTCCCTCCTGCATCGTGCCTCCAAAAGCCTCCCTCGGTTAAAGGAGGTGGATTATATATAAATTTCTTTCTCTTAATGTATTTAAAACAATTTCAAATGACATTGCACGTGCGATCCAAGTGTGTGGTTGCAGCCCGCTACCCGCCAGCGCTCTCAGAGGTTCTGCGCAACGCTCTCTCACAAGTCGCAGGAACCCAGAGCCCGGCCTTGGCCGCCGCCTTCATCTTCTCCCGGGGCTCCGGGGTCGCCCCAGGTCCTCGGCTCACTGGTTTAACTCCAGCGCCCAGACTTGCTGCGGCCAGCCGGTGCGCCCTTTAATCCTCTTCTCACCTGGGCCCAGGGCAGGAGGAAAGCCTTCGTGCTGCGGCTGCCAAAGGACACACACAAGAAGAGAGGTGAAAGAGACAGGTTTAGACGGTTCTGCTCCGATCACCGGCGAGGAGTGGGTGGGGTGAGGGGAAAGGTGTCGAGAGCAGTAACTGGGAGTCTTTAAATAAGTGACGGATTTCTGTTTGCAAAATAGGCAAACAGGCCCATAAATTTGCCTTAATGCGCCAAGTTCCTGGGATCCGGGACAGGACGGGCAGCTGCAGGAGGTTTGGTAATCAGAATTCTCGGCGTCTGGTGGAACGCATTTGTTCTGATTTGGCTTTGTGGCACCTAAGGGAGACCTCAGGGGATTGGGATGGGAGGGGTGGGGATCCACTTTCCTCAGCTACCTACACGACCCGCTGGCTTTCTAACAGGATTTACCATCTGGTCTGGATGCAGGGTTGGATCCGCTAGAACTGGTGGCGGAAGCCTCAGATGGTTAGGAGCCGGCCTGACCCGGAGCTTCCTTCCCGGCTTCCGTAATAGGGCACCCAACCGTGCAACTTCCAGGAGGCTGTGCGGCGGAGGGCGGGTTGTGGGGGGGACAGTGTGGATCTACTCAATAACTACTTTCAATGAGGAACCCCCTTAAATCCTGCATCTCCTCCAACCCAGGGCATCAGCTGAGATTTGATGACTACTGTCTTTTCCCCCGTGACCCACAGGCCCCTTGGATCAGATAAAACTGGGCCTGAGCGCACCAACCTGGAGAACTCCTTCGCCAGCCTGAATAACACCATGCCTAGAGGTCCTGCAGCCCTGGGCAGGGAAACTGAGCACCAGAATGTATTCCCCTAACTGGAGAGGATCCAGAAAGACGTAGTAGGGATTATGACCTGCAAAGCCAAAAAGTGGCTCCTGCTTGTTTATATATACAAAGCCCTTGAGGTTGCGCTCTAAAACCAACCCATGGAGAGTGGAACTGGTGGGTTCTGAACCAGGAGTTGAAAGCCTGACCTCTTTTACTTCACCTCCACTTCTTTTTTTTTTAAAAAAATTTTTTTAGTTGTAGTTAGACACAATACCTTTATTTTATTTTTATTTTATTTATTTTTATGTGGTGCTGAGGATCTAACTAGCGTCTGGCATGTGCTAGGGGAGCGCTCTACCTCTCAGCCTCCACCCCAGCCCCTCACCTCCACTTCTTACTCCTCTTGTAGCAGATTTTTGTGTTTTGCCCTACTATGGGCCTGTTTCCCTTTTCTATCCAGTGATGGAAGTAGTTTAACCTCTCCATCAAAGGCCATTTGAGAGCAGAAACTGAGGCCAAATGCATATATCCAGACTCAAAGCAACTTTTCATGCAATCTTAAGCTGGCTTCCAGAAGAACCCAGGGATGGATCAGGTCTCCTCCAAACTGTAAGTGCAATATATAGTGTGTGCACTCTCTTGGAATCCAAGGCTTTCAAAGGAGTTTTAAAGAAAGCCCTAAGATCCTAACCAAAAGGCTTAAGATTCTTCATTCACTCAGTCTTAACAAACACTAACCCACATTACAATTGAATTCAATTATGAATCTGCCTCTCTGCGCACACACACGCAATCACACACTGTAACTATCTGAGAAAACTCCATAGCTTTTCAAAATCTCACACACAAAATAACTCCGGTTTCCCCGCAGTGCTGCCGATGCTCACGCAGACTGCACCCCTGGCTGGAAGCTTACAGGCCCCAGTACTCACCAGCTCCCTTTTCCGCTTGCTCTCGCGGCTACCATCCACCTTCTTGAGTTCAGCCTTGAAGGCTTCGGGGTCGCCAGCCTGTGCATCCTTGGCCAGTACGTCCATCAAGTAGGCGATGTAGCTGGTGGCCAGGCGCAGAGTCTTGATCTTGGAGAGCTTGGTGTCCGCCGGCACGTTGGGGATGCACTCCCGCAGCTCAGCGAACGCGCTATTAATGCTCTCTGTGCGTCTCCTCTCCTTCTTGGGTCCCGAGCCTTTCCGCCGGCCCAGACGGCCGCCGAGCGCCTCCAGGCGCCCGGGGCTCTGACCCTGTCTGGCGTCCGGACCGTAGGCGGCAGTAGCCACAGCGGCTGTTGGTGGTGGCCCTCCCGCAGAGAAGTCTGGGGCAGCGTCAGCAGGGCTCAGCAGCCAGCTTTGGAAATAAGGTCGCTCCTGGTGACAGCGCGAGGCCGGGCCAAAGAGGAAGGGCTCGTGGAGCATGGGGTGCGCGGGGTGTGGGTGGTGATGGTGGTGATGGTGTGCGTAGCTGCCCACGAGGTTCATGTTGGAGAGGCTCCTGGCCTGAACCACTAGCCGGATTAGCGCCGCCCCATGTGCCCCAAAGAGGACCGGGGCCACCCGTGGGCTCCCGGGCCGCGCACTGCTGGGCGCCGGCTTTAGGAGAGTCCTGAGCAAGGTTGAAGATGACACACGTAGCCTGCTGCCTTCGTGCAAGTTTCTGTCGCGGACTAGGATGCCGATGCCCAAAGACCGATTTAACCCTTCTCCTGACTCCCCTTCAGGATCTGGCTTATATAAGGCGCGGCTTTGATGTCAACCTCTCCCTGGAGCCAATAGCAAGGGGGCGGAGAGGAGGAAAGTGTGGGGGGGGGACGTCCCAGGTTTTGCTAGGCTAACGCCACTGACTCCAGGCGGCCTGCAGGGACAGGGAACCGGCCACGCCTCCGTCCCTCCCCTGCCCGCCGATTCCCGGGCTGGGAAGGCGCGGGCTACGTACTGGCCAACCTGCTGCCACCCCCTCCTTGTGGGTCCAAGGAAAGGAAACTAGAGTCGTGGAACGAAAAGAAGGGCTCCCCTTGATTTTACAGATAGGAAAACTGAGACAGGATGGGGGTGAAGAGATTGTTCTTGTTTCTAGACTCTCGGGAAATCAGAAGAGGAATTGCAAGGGACCGGGTCCCCAGCTCCAACTGCTCTGCCAGGCAGGGGAGTCCAAAGAAGAGAATGCGCGGTGGGAGGCAGGACAGTTTCCTAACGTTTTTTCCTTCACATCTTCCTCCCCCACCCCACCCCACCCTCTCACCCCGGTCATTTCATCATCTGCCCTGTCTGGTGGGACCGGGAGTCGATCTTGCACCCGCGGTTGGACCAGCCGGCCAGTTCTCGCCCAGTCACCGGCAGACCTGAAGCCTGCTTCCCACCGAGAAGCGTTACTGAAGCTGCGGTGGGAATGGGCGACGGGAAGAAGGAACGGACGTCCAGCCCAGGGCATTTACCAGTTTGTTCCGGGCTCGAGGGCCTGAAATCTGCTCTTCTCGCCTCGCAGGCGCCTGATTCAGTCTAAAGCCGGCAGGCCAGGCCAGGCCGTGGCAGAGACAGCCTCCTGGAGCCCGCCTTCGCCCTAGGGCGTCTATTCCGAAGGACGCTGCTAGGACTCTCCTGGTTTCACCCCCGTACTCGCACAGAGGGCCGGGAGCAAAATTATGCTAGGCCACTCTACCTAGATCGTCACCCCTTGAGAGTGTTTGAGTCTCTAAATACACTGTCACCCAAGTTCACACCGCTAGAAACCAGCCTTCCGCGAAAAATATGCCGAGGGAAACTGGACCTGCACAGCATCCCGGAGGCTTTCGACCCACCCGCACTGAGCCGTGGAGCAAAGTGCACAGCCTCTGCAGCTTCCCCCTCGGACCAGGGCCCTTGACTGCCTGTCTTGATTTTCTCTACTGGGGCTTTCCTCCCGCTCCCGTGGGAACCTGGTAATCCCACAGTGGCAGTGCTTCGGGCTGCGGGTTGCCAAGCGTAGGTCTAACCTTCTATTACAATAGCTTCCTAGAAGAGGAAAACCGAGGCCCTCTAACCCCTCAGCTCTTTCCAGCCAAGCCCCTTCCCTAGGCGGAGTAGACAAATGTGCCTTTCTCTCAATCAGGATACCAAGGTAAGGGCGAAAGGAGATTATCCTGAGTGCCGTTTTTAGAGGGCAAATTCATTACTTATCCATTCACTCAAAAATGGTCTATTGATGCCCACGATGTGCCTGGCACTGTTACTAGTCCAAAGGCAGAGAGAGAAAAGCCAACTTTCTTTTGTACAAAAAGGGAAAGTGAGGTCCAGACAGGATGATGGATTCCTCCTGAAGGCCCAAGGATGAGTGGGTAGGTGGAAACACGTCTTGAGCATGATGTGTACTTGTGAGTGACAGACATAACGTGTAAAATCCTAGGAATGCGTGAGTATTGACCTACTGTGGGTACCTTGGTTCTAAATGTTTATTTATTTGAGGAAAGAGGGGACAATCACTTAGGTCTGAGCCCATGGGTTCACCTGTGGGAGGGAGCTCAATGTGGTTGTGGGCCCTAGAGGTGCAGGAGGTGGTGGGGGAGCGGCGGAGGGAGGTCCTGGTTTTCTGCCCGAGGCTGGCTGGAAACCCGCCGCTTTCCCGGCGCCTGGCGCCAGCAGCGCTGGGGTTGGGCCGAGCGCGGAGCCGGAGGCTCGCAGGGAGGGAGCGCCGGGCGCCCGATCCAGCGGCGGCGGCTCCGCGGGATCCCGCGCCTCCCCGGCCTGGAGGCGCTCTAGAGTAAGGTTATGCCGGTAGAGAAAGTAATTACTATGGAAAACACTTTCAGCGTTTGTCCTAACCCCAACACGATCTTCAGCAGCTGCCCCTATTATCACGGGAGGCCCTACCATGATACCTGCGCTTGTACGTGCGCGCGGGCTCGCAACCTCACTGGCATTTGGGCATTTTCACAGCAATACACACAGTACCTCAAGTTGGATTTAATGCCTGCCAGAGGGAGATCTAGCCTAAACAAAAAGCAAGCAAAAATCATACATATGTGCACAGGTGCTTGCAAATGGATGTCCTCACCTATTGGTACATTAAACACAGACATATAAATCCCACAAGTTCAATTTGATATATATCCTCAGCCTTACCTATGTAGTCACAGCACAAGCCTCAAAAAATAAAGTCGTTCAATAGTCTGCACATTATGAAGGCACCCACAATGATTGACACACAAGAACAGCTACTATCCACATGCAAACTCGCAGTTCTCCCATCTACCCCCTTACTCATGGCTGCATTCAACTTTCAAATATCAGGTCTGGTTAGTCTAGTGGGGAATGCCTTATCAGTACTAAATGAAGGGTCCCAGTTACAGAGACCCCTTGAGGGCCCCAAGACTGCCTGAAACCATCTTATGAGTGTTAAAGAGCAGGTTGTCTCTGGCCACCAATGCCTTGGAGAGCTATACTACAGTGGCCCCACTGGAGTATAGCCCGGAGGATTTTAGGACTGGGAGAAGGATGGCTCCCCAGCAGTCTGAACTGCCAGAGAGACAGAAAGTTGTCTAGGCCCCAGACACAGCCTTCCAGAGTGCTTCTAACACCAGCCAGGCTCTGGTGTGTGAAGAGTGCAGCAGAACTCCTAGGATAAGGACCTGGGGAAGGTGTTCTCTCCCTCTGCCTCAGGGTATAGGATAAGGGAAGGTCTGGAACCAGGAGTTTAGCCAAACATGCTTTAGGTTGACAGGCAAAAGATGTGGCTTCCAGTTTAGTTCCAGCACTATCTGCACCTCACTCTGTTCCTTTCCAGCTCTGTGCCTCAGTTTCCCTATTTGCAGAAAATGGGTTTAGAATTGACAGTCTGGACCCCAGCTCCCCAATGTTGCACAGGGCCTACTCTGATTCCCCTTGCACCCTGACCTAGTTCTCCACTTCTGGGCCCCAAAGGGAGAAGGGACTCCACTCTCCTTCAATTCACTTCTACAGAGCAAGCATGGGGTGCTAAGGATTCTGGGGGTCCTAGCCAGTTCCACACTCCACTGCCCCTTTCCTTAACCTGTCTTGCTCACCTAGAGAGTACCTTCAGCTTTCCAAAGAAGGCTTCTCAAGTTGTGCAGGTGAGGCCAGGCAGGAACACTCACCCCAAGAGAGTTTGAGCTTGTAGAGGTTGAAGATTGTGTTAGAGTGCTTAGGACAGTCTTGCAGTGGGACCCAGCCCACCTATGTTGAGAAGGGGCACTGTCATTCCTCCCTATGGACCATTGGAGTCTGTTTCCCCTTTTGTAAATTGGGAGGATGATAATACCTACCACGGAGGGCCAGTGTAAAATTAAGTGAAATAATATAGAGGAGACTCTTAGAGGGGTAACAGTAACCCTGCAAAAATGTTGGGTCTATTTTTAGGAATATTAATTTCACAGGGGGAGAAATGGAGTTACATGCCACCATATCACTGCAAAACCTGGACAGGAAGAAGAGGCCAGACCCTTGGATTCCTCTTGTCCTGCTCTGTTCTGACCAAATCGGGGTCCTTCCCTTTCTGGACAACTCTACAGAACCCAGTTGCCATAATAAGGCTGGAGGTGGAGGAGAGGAGAGTATCACCAGGTATGAGGATTCTATTGCTGGAGACCCCAATTCCAGTTCCAGATCCCCACTCCGCAGGCTGCCCCCGCCCCATTTCCTTTGCTAAATGATTTTGAAGGGAGTTCTTGCTACCTCCATCTACAATTGGATAGGCAGTACCTCGGACGGACGGAAGGACGCTCCGGATGTCCGCAGGGTCCCTGTCCTACCCTGCTGGGCTCTTCCCTCACCCCATCTTCCTGACTGGCAGTCCAGGGGAGCCTGCACCCCGGCGCCTACCGCAAAACCTTCTCCCCGCCACGTCCCGTGACCTTGACGCCACGGGCAATCCCCGCACCGGACCCCTTATCTAAATAGGGCAGTAAATCAAAGACCTGTCAGGGCCCGGGTAATTACAGGAACTCCATAAAAAGGACCCGGCCGGCCGCCTGTTTATATTAGCGCGGTGTAAAATATTCCCGCTGTCTTGGGGAATCGCGTCGCGGAGTAACGCGCCATAAATCAGCCCGCGGGCCATTTACCCCGCAGTTTGAGCGCGCAAATCCCTTAAACAGTTCTCTGCTGTATCTAAAGAGGGTCTAGGACTTTCCAATGTGACCGGGTTTGTTCCCTGGAGCTGGAGGATAGTCGGGGGCGGGAAGAGAGAGAGAGGGGTAGGGAGTCGGTTTCTCCAGGAAGCTCTTAGAATGTGAAGCCTCCTGGCCTTTGCTGGTACCCGAGAGCCACAAGTCTACCGAAAGGTCTGTTAGGACCAATTTCTGCATTTAGATGGGAAGGAACTTCCCCAAGAGCACACAACCAATGAGTGGAGGAGAGGCGCTATTGCAGACTCCAGGGGAAGTGGCTGGGCCGGTGGCAGCCTCTCTCTCCCCTTGTTACCTCCTCTTCTGGGGTAAGGAGCGGTCCAGGCAAGTGGGTTCCAGTAGCAAGTGACTTTTACTTATTAGCTTGCGGCTTCCTGGGCTTCTTGTAGTTGTGCACATAATTGTGTGTGAATGCTTTTCTGTGCAATCCAGCCTCAGATTCTTGGTCCTATTCCCTTGTTTTACAGGTGGCAAAATCAAGGCCCAGATGATGGGAAGGGACCTGCCCAGGGGCTCACAGCTAGAAATCCAAGACACTCCACTGCAGATGTAATCCACTTTAGTTTCTCTGCCACACTCTTCCTTAGCTAAGGAAAAATTAGGAGAGGGTGCTGTGCATATG